AGGAGGACAGAGCGGACTGCAGAGCAGTACACCCGCCCTTTGGTCGATAGTCGGATATCACGTCTACGCCAGAGACGGCGTAAACTGGTATGTGCGAAACTAGCCCGCTGTATCCGTGCAATGATTTCGTCAGAGATCAACCCGTTGGCGTTGGTTGGTGCAACTTCCCAAATAAGTGAAGCGGTCAACGTGCACTACCACTTCACTCCCTATTTATAAACTTGGAGTCAGCGTAGTCCAGTCAGTCCTGTAACATCATCTTACATTTGGCAGGAGCGAATCGCATGCCAAACATTCGTAGATTGCAGCTCAAGGTGCTCAGAAGACTCTTCATTCTGTCAGCGTCTCCACCTAAAAGGACTATATCATCTGCACATTCTAAGTCAACAAGACTATTCCCTGTTGGTAACAAGTCAACCACTGAGTCTCTGAAGTCACTTAGGGTTAAGTCCATTAGTACACCTATGATGAAATTAAATAGAAACGGGGATAGTGGGCATCCCTGACAGAAACCACTAGTTGTCACCACTTCAGATGACAACTTGCCGTAAGCTCTCACCTCTCTGACTGCATGAGTTCGAGTAAACTGTCTTGATCAGTGCAATATATTTTCTCGACGTTCCCTTTACAGCCAAACAACGCCAGAGTACCTCTCGGTCAACAGAATTGAGTTAAGTCTTTAGGTCAAGAAATATGACGACTGTTCGACGCCGGTAAGTTTTCGAGCGTAATACGGGCGAGTAGACTAGACGAATAAATGAGCATACGTTTGACCAACAAGGAGAGTCTAGGAGATCTGGACTCAAAGGTCTAGAGGCGAAAATTAACTAACTGGCTGTAGAAACAGATAAGACAGGACTTCAAGTAAACATGGAGAAGACAGAAATGGTGAAGATACCTAATCCACAACGACAAACACCAGTCACCGTTAAGGGAAGAAATCTATAGGAAGTCACCTCTTCCACTTAGCTTGGCAGTATGGTTTCAACTGCAGGTTAAACAGATGAAGATGTAAAAGCCATCCAGTATTGGGGAAGTATGTCTTCATTAATGTGAAATCACTGTGGAAATCCACCGCACGGTGGTGTAAGAAACAAGACTTGGATTTTCAATCCAATGTCAGATCAGTGTTCCAATATGCTTCAAAGAGTTCACGCGTCACGGGAAGCATTTTTTCAGAGTCTACTAAAGACGTTCACCAGTAGTTACCTTTGCTGATTTGGCGATGAATACGAGAAAGGAACAAAGGACTCCGAAAACGAACCGTATAACAGATATGCAGAAGAAAATAGCGATGGATGGATTGGACACAAGCTGGGGAGACTGCTCCGTGACATGAGGTGTTAGGTCCTCTAGTGGAACCCAAGTGGGAAACGAGGATTTAGAAGTCCGAGAATAATACGAAGGAGATTATTTGAGGAGAGAAGAAAAGCTGATAAGCATTCTGCAGCCAGCTAAGAAAGACTGCAAAGAACAGACTGAAATGAGGATGCGCCAGTGAAGTCCAGTGTTCTACTTAGAACACCAGGGAATAGTAATAATAACATGAAATTCAACCAGATTATACGTGAATTTTTGGTTCAGCTTTGTAAGTATAGTACATTTCAATATGATCAGCAGAAACTGTGACCATTAAATTTTTATTAAAGTTGGATTATAAGTATTCTGGTAGTTATTGATATCTCGGAAAGTTAAAAATAAATTCGTGTACTTGATATTAAGTATGCGGCTAATATTGTCCATATAGGACAAGATTCTGAAAAAGATGCAAACTCTTCTGAAAACTTTAATTAGAGACTTGAATATATTTTGCTCATGATCAACTGTATGATCAGTCTGCACCGAGTTGTAATTTTGGAATATGGCTTGAAATGGTTGAAAACTTCATTTGAATGTGAAGTTGCAACAGAAAGTAATTGCGTGATACTTGACGAAATCTCAGCTAGGATAAAAAAATACTGGTTTGGCAGTCGATAACCTGTGTCATTTGTGCAGCCGACGAAATATACGAATATCGATTAAAAGACGTGTATAGTGTGTGTTCGTATGCTCCAATCTTCTTTACAGATGTGAGACATGAGTAGTGAGGGTGAGAAATTTGAATGAACTAGCTGTATTGACCATTGATGACTATCTCTAACTTCTTACATGATGAGAAGTTGCATTGACTGAGATGTCTAGGACGGGTTTCAGACAAAGTAAGCCACTGAATTTAGCGACCAGGACTACTGGAATAGGATGAAAAAGAGTTAGAAGTGGTCAGACCAAAACACAATAACAATCCAAAAAGTCCTCGACTGTTGCTTTTGTCAAAAAGAGATTACATATTACTTAGCTGGGGTCTTTAGGATCTATTATAAATATTATAATTTTTTCCTTGTGTTTTGAGTGGAAAATAGCGTTTCTGAAGCACATCTTCAGTGTACTGTGTGATCTGACGTCATTTTTGCTTAGATTCTCCATTGCCCCTTTACATGGTCCCCACAGGCCACTCGAGATACTGCGCCCAACGCATCACTTCCTACTAGGATTCACTCGACAGTTTGCCTGAAGTGTGACGTAATTTGAATATGTTCATCTTTTTAGGAATATGTGTGGAGCAATCAGTTCTTAACTGGTTATCTATCCATTTTCCTTGTTGACTGCATATCCTTTCTGGGAATTTAATCTTAAATATCGAAGGAAGGCAGCTGTTAGTAAAAGTTTGCAGTAACATGTTAGAACTGCTCTGTGTAACGTGCATGATGAATTTCTGAAAAATGTACACATTCGTGTAGAAAATTCGGATGCTGTTCGTTGTGTTGAGTGCTGCAGATTTCCACATAAATGGTTGTTTTACTTTCCTGTTTCAATCCTGTCTGCCTCTGACACAGTCATCTGTGTTTCCTGTGGATAAGACAATGGTGCCTACCCAGGTGAGCTAAAGAGACGACTTCCTCAGGATGTTACAAATCAATGCTTAAAGAGACATTCACTCCGTGGGATCCTCGAAGTGCATCAAGTCATCATTATCCCTTCTATTCTCCCCTACCTTTATGTGTAATTCTTGGAAATGTATTAACTTTAATCAATACACTATTTTTCAAGCAGTTTGATTCACTTCACTTCTTATCTCAACCAAGAAATTAGAAATGAAAATCCTGAAACATGCACTTTCAGCTTTACTGAAGAATAAGTCACGTGCCCAGATGAAAAGCCCGAATTAGGATGAGATACGCTTTCCTGGATTCTGCTGCCAGTCTCCAGCAACTAGATAACATTTAAAACTTCATCTAATGAGTAACAGTTTCATCCTTCAGCAAAACTTCTGAATTGGGTAACAACAATACCATGAAGAATAGAATGGGTGTTTAGGCGGTAAGTGGACAAATATCACGTCAATCGTGTACAATCCGTCTGATTTTATAAACAGAGAGTACTGAACAGTTATTGGACAGGAACTAATGTGTCAAGTATCTAGTCTTTGGAGTGTTGCGGTTGACTATATTCTATCTGCTAGTCAATTTTGCAATACGGTGAGACACCAAACAAGGTGACTAAAAGGTCAAATGTGAACTCAGATAACTCAGTGGAAACGTCTCTGACTTCGTCACTGCATGATGTAGATCCCGATCTTCCAAGAAGATGTCAGTTTTTTCTATTTTGCGAATAAGCCTTATCGATGACTACCAATATGCACAAAACCTAGGTATTAAGTAGGGCTTCTTGCCGATTACATCCAACTTCTTAACGTTGGTTCAAAGTGTACCATGGTGGCGAGTAATCTAGCTTCCTTGATCACACTGGAAACTTGGCTAAAAATTAATTTAAACATTATCAACAACGAGAATTAGATATACGACTTCGGTTACACCCTCATGACTAACAAATACACAGCCTCATTTTAACGTGGAATTGAAAGAATCAGAAATAAACAAGAAAGTTAAGCAGACAGAGAATTAAATCATAATTGGCTTTAAATATGAGGCAAAAAATAAGGATTTTTAGATGGTTGGAGGCGATCCTCTGGAAGAATTGACTGACTAAGGCTTTTTACTTGCTAGCACTCATCAGTAATCAAGGACTGTGTACAGTTTTGAGACAACCCATATCCTCACTGAGATCTGAATCCGCACCCCCCCGCTAGTGAAGTGAGAGACGTGTTACCACTTAGCTGTTCTGTCCTACAATTAACATTCTTTAGGAATGTTACGGATGGAACTGTTGGTCACGCACCTATTCCTTGGTCTGTGTCAATGGAGATTGAATACAGTCAGTCCCGTTTTAAATACGGTCACCAAGGCAGGTGGCTTCATATTGCAGTACCCTCCTAACTGATGTTAGATGGTTGAAACCAATCTTCAGGAGGTCCTGGACCTAGGTTTTGTGCTTGTTGGTAAGCCATTTATGCCACCTTAAAGGAACTCAGGTTCCATCTGAGATTCCGACTTGTATTATGTAGTCAGAGAAATTACCACTGAGCTGTTCAGGCTCACAACTGACCGCTTGTTAGACTTAAATGGAGACACTGACTGGCCACCAGAGAATTAACCAATGTGTCATTTGTCTAGTCCGTGGTTTTGGTGTCGGTAAAGACTGAAATTCCCATCAGTCAAGTTTTCAAATTTTGATCAACAAGCTTACAGATTGACTTCAGTCTGTATATGTATGTTGTGATGATGACCTAAGCGCGTCCTTAGTTCACATGTTTTTCATTCATCTGCGCTTGTGTATTTCAGTTTGCTTACATGTTCCTGTACTGAAGCTAATTTACATATATGTATATATAATTGTTTTACTTTACTAGAATGCGATGATTTTATTTGCTTACATGAATTAATAGTCGAATGAACACCTCGCTATTAATGTGCATCTTATGTTATCCAGATATTCCATTGTGCATACTCTGTCAGTTTGTATCTCGATTATGTAAATCTTTGTGCGTGTGTATAGATACCATTATTTATTTTCTTCTTCTCTTCATGTGTCTATGTGTGTGTTCATCCTCTTTCTTTAATCAGAACTCGGACTGGATCACAATTCACGTTTACATGCAAGACATCGAATATACGAAGAATACTTGAAAAGTTTAGAGAAACGATACAGTATTAAGCTAAATGAATCTGATGTCTACAGTCCTTCAATGAACGATGATTATCATAATGATCCCATCGGATATGATCTTCTACCGGAGAGTTTATTAATGTCAACCAGCACTGCTGCTGCTGCTCCCGATAATATTGATTATGTTGATGATGGTCTTTACTCCACACTGACACCAGGACAAACTGATCAATCGATGTCAGTTTATCAGACGAAGACACGACAGAGTACAACAGAAGAGAAAATAACCGCTAGAAAATGTAAGTAGCCAACTGTGACAACTTTTTTTGTCTTCATGCATAATCCTCATCCAGGCATAAATGAAAAATCACAGAAAACAAAACTAAATGAGTAATTCAGCTAAAGGAGACGCTGTATTCGACAGATTCCTTTTCTTTAGCTGCAGAATTTAGTGTGCATACTAAACACTAACACAATATCCACTAACAAAATTAATAAGTTGTCATAAGCATAGAGCTGCAAATTTCGTCTTCCTTTCTTTATCGAAATTTATCAAGGGAACCAAATGTATGAATTATTAATCAGTGCCTAAGAGGAGTTGAATAAGGGTGAATAGAATTAAGCGATCAAGTAAATAATTTTGATCAGCGAGTTATAGTCAGCGTTCACATAAAAACAAAAATAAATGTTATATTACGCTATGAGTTTGAAAATAGTAAAAATATCATGGTAAAGTTGATGTAGTTGAATAGTTCTCATTTGTGAAAATCTTCTTTTGAAGGTTTAAAAGTTGTGTACATACATACATGCGATTGTATAGTTGAAGAAAATGAAGCCTTCCTCTGAACCAACTTTTTTCCTTTTTTATTCAAAATTTTTCATCAGTTTTCTCTCGCTTTTTTTCACTCACATATTTGAGTTGTTAAAAAACTGGTGTTACATTACTCTAAATGTTACTAAGTAGTAGAACCATATCAGGAACTTTCGAGTGTTGAGGATTCTTGACTGATTATAAAAGAAATCTGACACTTTCTGGCGTAATTCAATCACTTCTCTTACAATTTATTTGTAATTCATGTATAATACCTCTTCTTCTTTATTGATCCCTCCCTAGGGTATCTGAAAAAAGACTGAAGTGTATGTTATGTGACACTTTGAAGGCTGTAAAAAGGGTTAGTAGTGTGTGCAATTTGCGCCAACTAACTAACTAACTAACCTTTTTACTGATAGGAATTATAATTCTTGCAAGCAATTGCATTTCATGTCAGTATATGTCAGTAGAATCCAACGAATATGCATTGAAGACACACTTGATAAAGAAGGATGAAGGTTGACTCAAACTCTGGTTGATAACAATCATCCAGGCAAGTTCATCAGGAGATATGAAGTAGCCAGAACACCAAGACCTACTCTAAAACTCGCCCCCTGAGAAAGACGTGTCCATCAAGCTAAACTATATGGGGCATCAAAACAGCTTGATAACTAGACAAAGACTAAACACTGCTGTTAAAAAGACTTTTTATGCAGCTAATATCATAATCATAGAAAATGTGAAGCCAATATATCCGTCCATCCAAGCCCTTCAAACATGCGAAAAATGATGTCACATTCCACTGTATTTACCAATTTGAATGTAGGTGTGGACACACATGGATAGGGAGGACTTATCGATCTCTGCAAGTAAGGGCTTCAGAGCATATTCCTAAATGGCTCCAGAAACAAATGGAATCCTTAGACACCATTAATGATAAGAACAGGAGACCTAGCTCTTCTATAGCGAAACATATTATAAAGACAGAACATAAAGTTGACGTTAACAGATCTTTTAAACCTATATCTATAAAACGTGTTTGGGGCGTATCCTAAAGTTCGTTGAAGCCCTAGCTATAAATTTGAAAGTTTAAGCCAGCTTTATGCGTTCAAAACAATTTATCATCACATCAAACCTCCCTTGTAAATTTTGTTTTTGTTGATCTCAGTATCCTACAATCTGAGCACTATTTCACATAATGGTTGTATTTCCATTATATTAGGAATGCTAAAGCACTCTACTCGATTGCTTATTAAAGGTAGTGCGCCTTGATATATTGTGTTTTCTCCATCGCGTTTTCCATGACATCCAAGATTCTTCTCAAGGTTGATTTCATTTATAAGTATCCAGTTAATAGAATATGGACACCGAAAGAACAGATACTGGTTCACAGTAACATGAATCTATTGAATATAGTTGGTTCTCTTCAGTTGTCTACGACTTGTAACGTTTGACTAATACAACTTTAACATATTTTCGTTTATCAAGAGGAATCAGTCCTCGATTAAAGAGACGCATATTGGAAAAAATATGTGTTATTTTAAAGTGTTTCAGCATATATATATTATAGTAACGTGGTTTATCGTAAAAAAATAAGTGATTTCTTTGTTAGGGGATCGGTAACATTAAAAATAAGTTGCATAAATCACTGACATGGTGAAATACAATGACTACAATTCATAAGACCAAAAAGTCAAAAATTCATGTGTAGAAAGTTTAATGAGGTTTTTTAAAATCCTTTACGTTCCCAGTGGAACGTATGACTTCAAACTAGAGGCTTGAAGTTTCTGTAGCAGTGATAATTATTTTTACAGGATGGGGTTGCTCGCCTCATGCCCAACCTTTCCTAGTTACCAGCTTTTTATTACTGGCTTAGCGAGGTAAGGGGGAGTGCGTCGGCGGAGGATCGAACCCCGGACCACGTGGGTGGTCGGCTAGCACTCTACTGCTGTGCCACCGACGCACGTCTAATGGGGTGATGATGTAATATAGTGAGTGAAAAATCAAGTCTAGTATGAAAGTCAGACGGAAAAAAGGGAGTAACAAAATGATGCAATGTGAAAACAAAGAGCTGGGCAGGTGGGAATTAACCGAGTAACTGAACTCACATGACAGATTTTTTTAAATATGTATCCACATGATGTGTGTGTTTTGGTTTTGACGGTCTATTATATTTTTCTGTGTGTATATGGATCGATATTCCATTATAACTGACATTATGCTTTTGTCTGTCCACTAACTAAATAAACATGTGTCACCTTGTTGTCACATGACATTACAACCAATCATTTTAAGACTGTCTATTATTGGATCATGTGTATTAGCCATTTTCATACATACTTTTGTATTAGGCACTTGATTCTTTCTTGTGTTCCCACGTTTCGTACTTACGTACCCTTCCACTTACACTCTTGTGTGACACTTATTTTCCTTGTCTGGAAAATACAAATATCATCGTGAACCTGGTGGTCTTCTGATTTCCCCCTTTCCGCGTCAGGACTATTAACTACTCGACGAGTACATAACACCTTTTGAACCTACAGGTCAGATTTCAGACATTTTATTATATTTTGGCTGTTTTGTCTGTTACTTATTCTGAATACTCCTTTTAATCGACTAATGTCAGGTACAGGGTTAGACAATCTAAGATAAGTTCTATTCTTTGTCTTTGCAATGTAAATGCTTGCTCAAATACACCTTAAATGAAACACTTAGTCGTAGGTAATATATAAGGGATGCTTCTGATTCTGACTATGCCGACAACCAGAATGTGTGGAGGGGAGAAATTAGTTATGCTGTAGGATGCGTCCTGGTCAGTGCTGTACTATAAGGTTTATTTATCCCTGTCATAATATCATCAACTTTGAATTTAATTCAAATGGTAATAGGTGTTTTAGTTGACCATCATTATATCCGATTTTCATCCTCTTCCTTGGCATATCTGTTGAGAAGCTATCATTAAGTGTGCAGTCAGCCTAGGAGTTTTTGTCTCATTTGTTTCTGCACTAGACCGTTCTCATACAAATACTTTCTTATCTGGATTTAACAACTGGTCTTCTCCATAGTGTCTCAGACTGAACCCTTCTAAATGATGAACTGTTGATTTCAGGCATTATTGGCGTGAACTTCTTCACTTCCAAGATTCATGTAATGTCGACGACACTGCTGTACGGAAGTAAGTTAGCTTCTCTCCTAATATCTGTTAGTCGTCTAATATATTGTTGATTTACTAAACAGGTCTTTCCTTTGACCGACTATACATGGAAGGTGAAACTTTTTGGCATATCTTTGAGACCTCTCTTAGAATTTATTAAATCATATATTCTAGATATATTTCTTCACTCTTCCTTGGGCTTCTACAAAAAAAACTATGGCATATTACTTAGGATTTTGAAAACCGTAATTCGGATTGGTGCTGTGCCTCCCGTCCAACTAACTGATATTGTTGCTGATAGACATTTAAATTCGAGCAAGCAGTTGATCTTCATGAAGTGCTGCCCTCTCTCAATACTGAAGATCGGGTGGCCTGGAAGGATCAGCAACAGGGAACTCTGGGAACAAATCAACCAATAAAGTATTGATCAACAAATTTGTAGAAGCAAATGGAGGTGGGTGTAGTGGACATACACTAAAAAGCCGGCCAAGTGACATGACGCGCCTGGCAGACCCTCGAGTGAAACTTGAATGAGAAATCACGAGTACGGCATCCAAATGTGACATGGAGATCGTATTAGGAGATATCATCTTTCCGGATATTGAACAGCCTCTTCTTAATTCACACATTTTTCTCAGTTAATCCTTTAGGAAAAACTAGAAATAATTTCACTGGAACTTATACTCGTCCTACTCTATACAGCGCACGTCTTGTGTAATGAATGATATATCAGAAAGGAAATAAAAGAAATCTACTCTTTAATAGTGTCAAAAAACAGCCACCCATCTTTAAAAAGCAGCAATGGCAACACAAATGGAGTGGGATAAAACGAATTCATTTCATTTCGTCTGTGTCTGTATTGTCAACCAGCTGTTTAAAACCACAATAAATGGAAGTTAACAGTTTAATTGCAATTTAAACATTGTTTAATTCATTGGAGAAACAGAATACCGTAAAGTAGTAATTAAGAAAGAATATGCTATACATACAGATGAATCGAAATATTATTTCAGTAAAATTTAAAAGTATTACTGCAGCTGTATGTGAAATGTGGCCAAAGTGTCTATAATGAAACAACTAAGTGTGAAGCGCAACGGTAGTAGCAACAAGATGTTGAAGCGAAAGAATTATTAGATTACGCAAGTCATTAATGAACTCCTAATACACATATCCTGGCTGAAGTTCATCTAGTTAGATATTGGATATATCAAGTAGGACGATTAATAAACAATGATCTAACTGAGTGTCTATATAAACATTCTCTTAGAAACTGTATCTCTATCTTCGCTTGTGCAAGCTTGACAGAGTAACTCAAAGAACTGTCCACCTTCTTC